CTGCAGAAATTGTGCGACCCAGAAACGTGACCGAGTTTTAGATAAAACTGCACTTCCTCAGATTCAGCGTCAGACCTGCCTCCCGATGGCAATCCAGTACCAATCGTAGACTAGAGTTATTTTGTTTGATATCTCTCCCGAAAACGAGAATGTGGTCTAGAAAGTTAAGGCAGTGTTTCGGGAATAGGCCGCGCAATGCCGTCTCCAACAAACGCTGGCAAATGGATGCTGCGTTGCAAAGTTAAAAAGGCATAGTTTGGAACTCGTAGAGTCCCTTTGGTACAATGAACGCCGTTTTTCCTTATCTTTCTCTGCTACCTCCACCTACTATTAGTCGGATTTCAGATCCAATGTCGAGAGCCACATTAGCTCCTTGCAGAGAATCCAACGTGGCATTAAGCCTCTAATAATCGACGTCTAGAGGTAGGTCGCCATCGCTCCTTTCAACTAATGCGATGGAAGAGGGCCAGGGTGATTTGGAGCACGTGACTACGTCGTCCCGCGTCCCCTCGTCAACTAGTCGATGTACTTCGTCTTAGAGGGGGGAGGGGAGTGGCATGCGTCCAGGTGTCTGCCGCACCCGCCTGGCCCTCCCATTTTCACACCTTCCCAGGAGAACATTTGCAGGTAGCTCTCCAGGAGCGAGTGCAATTCCTTCCTCTCAGTGTCGGCGACCTGTTTTAGCTGAACACAAAGATCGCTCAAACTGGTTCCGGAGACGGCAAGGGCGACGAAAAGGGACCTGCATATGTCGTCTGCATCTTTCTTTGGTTGAGGGGTCGGAACCTCCTTGAGCCTTCCTTGGGTTGTGAACATGCTTGTACCGAAGTTCATAGTCACTCGAGACTGGCGTAAAATGCTCGCTCCTAACAGTACGTCCCGGACAAGTTCTGGACATAGCGCAAAATTCCCTTCCTTCTTTCTGCAGAGCATAGTATAGTAGCCGGCAGAGTGATAAGAACCTTGATACAAACCATTGGGAAGGTTTGTGGGTCCAGTAACGAGAGGGCTGTTTTCGAGTCCAGGAGGAAAGTGCATGTGTGACCTTCCATTTCCTCCCATACCCACATAAAGGCAAGAAATTGTGAGGGAAGCAGACAATACATGCAAAAACTGTCTTACTTTGTGCTGAGGAAACGCTTAAAAGCGCCCACCTTTAACTGTCGGGAGTTGGCCGTCTGTTGAGAGGCCACGGACGAAAACGGGTGTTAAACTCCGTTGAGAATTGCAGCTCCAGACAATTAGCAACTGTCTCATTCTAGGGTGAGCAGATGAGATTTGGTCTTGGCTTGGTCCAAAGGCCAGACCACGTATAAAAGGGCC